CCTGCTGCGGTCAGAGCAGCAAAAGGTGGGTCTGGCTCTCTCGAAGTTAGTCGGGCGACCCAGGGAGTCCTTCACTTCTGTCACCTCGATAACCGAGGATTTTTCCACCTTGGATATGCTAAAACAGCAACTATCTCGGGTGTTTCCCCCGCCTAATCTGGCATATCGCGTGCATCACGCTTCCTGCCAACCCTCCAGGGTAAAAAGGACTTAGTCGATTATTTCCAGGAGTTACGAAATCTCATTGCTGCTATGCAGCTGACCCTTTACCTGAGACGGTTCTTTCAATAATTCTATGGAGGATTTTTGCACTGGCGTTACTAGAACAGAAGTGTTCCAATACAACCCTCAGCATTTGAGGGTGCATGGGCATAGCGTTGAACGCAGAGTTCAACTTATAAGATGCCCGTTAAGGGGCTCGTGAGCTCCAATCGAACTCGTTGGAAAATGCTCATCTTACGGATCGGGCAGAGCCCATGGATCTTAGTCTCGCTGAGAGACACGAAGAAGCTGAGCTCTACGCTGTAGAACAGCGTTCAAATATCCGTAGATGTTTTACGTGCAGTAGCATCAAACTTGTTCGTCCCAATTGTCCTTTGAGAATGACCACACAGGCCCATTTGAGCCGACCTCCCGTCGCAAAATATCGATTTGGTAAGGCGCGGGAAAAGTCGAGCCCCAGTAGGCGCGTGGCGCCCTGCTGGAGAAAGTTTAGGCTCTGTTGTACCTCTGAAAGGTGATGGAGAACAGGACTTTTCCCAAAGTGGATTCTTGAGCAGTGTCAAGAAGTATGATTGCAAGCCAGGCTTGTTAGTTGCAAAAGAAAAGGTGAAGGGCTTTAATAAGCCGTGGTCGATATGACCGACTCTGGGTCGTCTGGAAACTTTGCCCGACGTTGTTCTCTGGAAGGGAGTCGGCAGTATGCGAGTGCGCTGAAAGCGCGAAAGAGTGAGACTATCACTTTTCGTTTGGCTGCAGGAGCATTATTCGCTGTACCTAAAATTCCTGTGAACTTAGGCGTGGAGGTTCTGGACTTTGACAGTATTGAACGCTGTCTAGTCCTTGATTTGGATGAGAGGTATGATCTCATCCTTGGTACGGCTTATCTAGAACGCCATTATCCATGGATTGATTGGAGGTGAAAGCCTTTAGGCGCAACGATCACTGTTACTAGTGGGGCTTCGGAGAGTCATGAGCCCACCACTGCTAGGAAACAGAAACTCTATTGGTGCGATCCACGGACTGAGACAGTCAGTGTGTTGGACATCGGACCGACTGAACTCATTGAGTTGGACGATTTCAAAAGCGTTAGTTGCGAGCCAAGCTCGTTAACTGTTAGTGAGACGGCAAGTACTCCGTCGAGTGGAAATGGCTGTAACAACGAATCACTGAATGCTGAAAGTGTTACTGAACTAGAGCCAAGTCATCATGGGCGTAACCCATCTGATGAGCATGGAGTGGCACGTAAGTACTCACGGAGTGATGTTGTCCGTGATTGCAACACACTGAATGTCATTCAAGATATTGTTGGCGAAACACAAAGTCATCAAGGGCGAGCCCCATTTGATGAGCGTGGAGTGGCACGTAAGTACCCCCTGGGTGGTGATATCACTGGAAGTGAGTCATCACCAGATGTCGGTAATGACATTGGATCTGATATGGATCAAATTAAGGTTGACGTAGTTCTTCACCTTGGGAGCAATATAGTCCCGGATGTTGGTAATGACATCATCCCTGATACTGACAAAAATTAAGGTTGATGAGTTCGTCAAGGTGGGGGTGGTATAGTCCCGGATGTTGGTAATGACATCGGCAGTGGTAATGAGCAACTTGATGTTTATGGCATGCTAATCTTGGGGACATTGGTATTCTAGGTGTCGGTATTGACACCGGTTCTTGTACAAAGCAAGTTAAGGATGATGATGATATCAACTTTGGGAAAGAGAAAGTTCTAGTCTCTTTAAGACATTCAGTCCAGTCACAGAGATGAAAGAGACACCAAATTGCTGTTATCTAACGCAAGGCATCTGTTGCATTACTGAGTGATACTTGCGAGCAGCTATAGACAATTGTAAATGGAGTGACCGGTGACGTAGATGGGTTAGTGAGTCTTGATACTCTACCCTCGCTGAATTCTCTGTTAGAGCTAGACGAAATGTCTGTCAATGAGTTTGGTCTGACCTTAAAGTCAGGTGAATTAACTGAGTGGTGGTCATTAGATCCGATAGTTAGTTGAAATCGTCGTCACTTCTTGATGAATCGGTCTTGGAAGGCAAGAAGGCGGCACTGAGTGCTCGAAGTGGGTCATCGATCTTGAAAGATCCTTGAGACCCGCTTTATCATTTGGTTAATTATCTTCAAGATGTGGTATGTCACGATCCACCTTCCACTATGCCTCCTAATCGAGGCGTACGTCATGAAATTGACCTGGTTCCTGGAACCAATTACTGTGTGACACGGCAATGGCCCCTACCAAAGTACCAGTGTGACATCATTGACGAGTTCTTTCGTGCAAAGCACGCGGCTAGCATGTTGTGTGAGAGCAAGTCTCCGAACTCGACGCCGACATTTTGTGTCAAAGCCAAATGGCAAGTGGCGCATATTGCATGCTTACAATAAGCTTAATGCAGCAACTATACCGGTACAGAAGCCTTTCTGGATGTTATATCCTTCAAAACGCTATGGTATGTTGCACCATGTCCAGTGAACTCGATTTGGTCAATATGCATTGTCGATTGCCCATGCGAGCGAGTGATATTCCGCTAACAGCGGTTAGTACTTCAAGCGGTATGCTTGGGAGCGGCTTGTCATGCCTCTGGAATGTCTAATGCCCCGGCTACCTTTGATCGCCTTTTGAAGAAACTAGTTCGACCTCACCGAGGATATGCGCCAAGCTATTTTCGATGACAAATTTGTCCATAGCCGTGCAGACCATGGTAGGTCAGATGTAGACAATCAAATTGAACATTTACGAGCAGTGATCGAGTGCATGCGCACGAACAAGCTGTATGAAAATACATCGAAATGCGTTTTTGGTGCAGAAGAAATCCCCTTTCTCGGGTGCTTCATCACAGAGAATAGCCTTCGAGCAGATCCAGCTAAGGTGAAGTCAATTGTTGACTGGCCGGTTCCGTCGAACCAAAAGGAAATTCGCAAATGGCTCGGCCTTGCTAATTACATGCACAATTACAGTGCAAACTACGCTGACCTGGCAAGGCCATTACCAATCTTCTCAAGAAGGATGCAGTTTGGTGTTGGGTGATTTTGGCATCACTTGACCCTGAACGGCCTTTTAGTGTCGTCTGTGACGCGTCTGATATTTGAATTGGTTGCGCTTTATTGCAGACAGATGTCGATGGACATGAGTGAGTCATTACGTATGAATCTCGTCAGCTAAAGTCTGCAGAGAAGAACTATCCAGTGCACGAAAAGGAATTGCTTGCAATGAAATATGCTCTTGTTTCGTTCAGAGTCCACCTACTTGGCTCAAAATCTTTTGTGATCTTCACAGATCATGCGTCGTTGCGGACTGCGAAACAGTCGCTTCACCTCTCAAAGCGCATGGCCCGCTGGCTTTCATTCTTTGCTGAATACAACTTCGAGCTGAAGTATGATCCGGGCAAGCAAAATTCTTTGGCTGATGCGTTGTCACGCATACCTAATTATGATTTTGCTCATGTTGCGACTTTTTCGTCATCCATTGTGTATCTAATCTGTGCGGCATATGCATGTGATGAGCAATATGTAGCATTGCTACATGCTCTTGGGAGAGAGAGGTGCAAAGACTCGAATATCAGATTGTTGGCATGTTTACGTGCGAGCCTACATCGACATGTCATCGATGGTGAGTTTTTGTTCCGTTGCACGGGTGTTGAGGTTGTGCCTCGCATCGTTGGTCCTCATGATAAGGACTTGAAGTATCGTCTCCTCTTTGAGGCACATGAAACTGCTTTGAGCGTTCATCTCGATCGTGAGAAGACCTGTAGCTCAGTTAGCCAGACGTATTGGTGGTCCAAGCTGTACAACTTTGTGAGCACACATGTGCGTACATGTGAAACGTGTCAACGTGTCATACCCTCAGCACATGCGATTTCACCGCCTGCTAGCTTGCCTGTATTCACTGGGTGTTGGGAGTCCATCTGTATGGAATTTTTGCTCGGCCTACAGAAGGATTTAAGGCAACACTGGTATTGTCGTCTTTGTTGACCGTTTGAGCAATATGGCATATTTAGCGGCTGCTTCTGATTCCATCGATGGTGAGGGTACTGCGAAGCTGTTTATCGACCGTGTGTCTCGTCAACACGGTTTGTCTGTGGCGTGTGTCTGATCGTGATCCACGTTTCACTGGCAGGGTTTGGACTTCCCTCCTCAAGGTGCAATGCAATAGATTGTACATGTCCACAGCGGATCATCCGCATACCGAGGGTCAAACTGAACGGCTTACCGTGTCATTGGTGACATTTTGCGCAGTGTTTGTGCTGATACGCCTAGACGTTAGAGCTCTATGCTCCCTGTCGTCGAGTTTTCGTTAGACAACGTTGTTTATCGCTCTACTGACTTTACTCCATTCTACGTGAATGGTCTCAACCACCCACGCGTTCCGTTAACGCTACACTCTGTGATTATGGGATTGATGGGGGAGGAATAGCCGATCGGCTTGCTGATGTCAGCCCAACTACTGTTCAGAAACAGGTGAGCGAGTTTCTCGCTACGCGATTGAATATTTTAATACATGTACGTGACGAAATGGCTGATAGCCAGGACAAAAAAGGATTAAGCTGATGCCAAAGGCAGAAAGTGTATTGATATTTATGAAGTTGGAGACCTTGTATAACCTAACTCTAAGAATTTGCCTACCGAGGTGGTGTCAGAGGTCTATAAATCCAAGCTTCGTCCTCGCTTCATTGGGCCATTTACGCTTGCGGCAAGAAAGGCCTATAGTATACGCTCAACCTTCGATGTAAGATGCGAGCATACCCAGCGTTTTTGCGTCAGCTTGCTTAAGCCTTACCATGATCCGTCGCGAATGGATCACGAGGCGCTTGCGCTGGACGAGTTGGCGTTGCCACAAGTCGATGTACCCTAAAGAGAAGATTCATTTGTCCTTCAAGACGCGCCACTCGGTCACAAAGACTTTGCACCTCGTGCACTGAATGGTCAACGACGCGTCGAGATTCACCGACCAGCGCCTGCTCTAGTTGACGAGCAAGGAGATCAACAGTACCATGTTGATAGAATCCTGCAGCGACGTTGTCGCGACGGTCAGTACCAGTACTTGGTACAGCGGCGAGGGTACCCGGAGTCGGAGAACTCGTGGGAGTACGAAGTTCCACTGTAGCAGGATTGTCCGCATGCCGCTGACGCTTTTGAACGTCGTCTTTGGGGTCAGTCGACCCATACCGCTTCCCACCAGTCGGTGCGGGAGTGGAGGGGGCTGCAGCAGCAGGTACACTGGAGTGCGGGTACGTAGCTGCCGCAGCATAACGGGTGCGATAGAACGATCGCAGTTGGCCTTTGGCCTTTTGTGTAGCAAAATCAAAGCGCAGCTTTCGCTCAAGCCGAACGTTAGCAAGTGAAGTGCTGTCTTGGAGATTCCATAATCTTGGTAGATGATGATATCTGTGAACCCAACGCGTAAAGACGACATCATTTCCCGCCTCCGTCTCACCAGGAAAGAGGACGACAGGAATTGTCCGCATGGCGGACAGTGATGCACCTCGTGATTCCAGATCTAGCCTATCGAGGTAATCTTGACCGGTCATACACTCGACCCCCAGGTATCTTGCTCTGAGAGCCTCCCTCTTCGCTAGTGCTGTGGCTGTAAAAGCCTTGAGTCCTATGACACATGTTGCGAGTGCCTGTCCGGCGGTCTAACGAATGTGTACATCCACACTCGGTTGTGTGAAGCGATAACCACTGTGAACACACCCTGTGGTTACACTTTGTGCTTGACGCCTGCGGTCATCGACCGACTGAAGATATTGAGCTTGATCTTCATCAAGTGTGTTGTTCAAGAAACCCAACGCAGGGTCGACGACTGCACGTTGTGCAAGGGGTGAAGACACCTCCTTGCGTTCCACGAATGGATTAGGCGCGACGCGCATGCTTTAACGCGCCGGTGGCGTAGCTGGAGGCGGGCCATAGAAACTTGACGCGACGTTGTCACTCTCGTAATCCACCATACCCTCTTCGAGGAATTTATCAAGGGTGTTAGACGAAGGCTTTGACTCCGTTATTTTGAGATGTGGTGTAAACACAATGATCACGATAGTCAGGACCAGAGCTTCGAGACTTCAAAGAGCAGTAGGAGAATTGTCGACACAGGGGTATCGACAGTTTGGTGGGGGAGGATGTAACGGGATTACACGGCGGTTGTTGAACCGATTACATTGTGTGTCCACACCAAGTAAATATCGGTGGATTTGAGGGTTACATTATTGGTACCATGTACTTACAATAATTGTAACGGGGCACCCTGAAGCTTGTACTGATAAAAGTACGAGCTGCTTATTCTGACGATAGAATAAGGCGGTGCCTCGTAACTTCACGTACACTGGTACGTGCAGAAGAAGACGGTAAGGAGAAGCGAGTACTCGGTTAAAGTAAAAAGTAGAACTGTATTTATAATAGTTAATGTCTGCAATAAATCACTATTTATCTTCATCTAACTATGTCTAAGTACAAATGTGTATATCAACTATCTGCTCACCACTCATTGCGGTGCGTCTGTCGTGGCGCGTCTTCGTTGGTTGGTGTAATGGCCTATCTCAACCAATCAGGAACTACTCGTAAGTGCTACAGAATATTTGTCCTTATGACAATATTCTGAGAATATAACTCTTATAGTTATATTCTATTAACAATCTCTTATAAATTGTTATGTAACGATTCACCCCGTTACATCACCCCCCCCTTAACCATCAGTCACTTTAGTGACTGATTGACTAAATGGATACTCGTCCCAAATCATTTGGGACGGGGTTTGCACTTGTTGGTCCGCGTCCACTTTCCAACATTTCATCGCATGGAAAACAAGCCCATGCGATGCGCGAACAAGGCAGATGAGAGCGTGTCTGCACATCTCTGTACAAACGTCGAAGCAGAAACAACAGCAACTGATGTCTCATCGGTTGCTGAAGCGACCCAGCCTGTGTCACTTGGTGACGCAGGCGCTGGTCATGAAGACACTCATGTCTTCTCAGAGTATGAGCTCGGTGTCTCATACTCTCCTGATACGGGTGATGGATCCGTATCGACGGCGATTGAATCTAAGCCGCCTGCCAAGCGTGGCATGGACGATGCTTTGCGTCGCAGCATCTTTGGTTCATCTGATGAATCAGATGAACCATCGCCGAAGCGAAGGCGCTCGAGGTCGCGAGACTCGGGCGCTAACAGTGGTGTCGGTTCTCCTATGGACACCACTTCACAGCGAGGTGCCAGTACTTCTGTCGGCACGTCGCAGGAAGAGCGGGACCGCAATGTCTTGCGTCTCGCTCCAGAAAAGAAGGCATGGATGCCTCCAAAATCCGTCATGGATCACTTGTCGGCGACGACGAGTGATCGTTATCGAACACGATTGTTCGATTCGTCAAGGATCCATCACCTTGACCCCAGCGCGAAAAACTATCGCGCTGAACATGAATTCTTCATCGAGGCTTTCTTTAGACATCGATGGTACAGTGGGAATCACAAACGTGATGGTCCCTCACTACTTCAGGCGTAGGACGTCTACATCCATAACCTTGAGGATGTGGGTCGTGACGCTTGGAACGACAAACTTATCAAAGCTCGTGATAAGTTTGAGAAAAGAACCCCGACAGGTGCACGCTACAAGCTGCATCGTCTGTCTAGGGGTGAGTGGATTACCCTGCCTCTCTTTTGGGGAGACTCGTGCCCATGTTGTGTGAGCAACTCTGCACGAGCACCTAAGGAGGCTTAACTCCCTAATAGCCCGTAATGGCGCGTACGTATCTCTAGTTAGATGTACGAAGGGATTGACAACCTAAAATCCCTTTACGACCGTGCCGGGAAGACTTTCTCCAGCGATTTTTCTGCGGCACAGGATGTGCCGCGTCGTACTGCTCAATCAGACCCAGTACGTCAATCATCAGTTGGGATCTAGGCTCATAAGCATCCCAGGACGAGGAAAACCGCGCCACCGGACGAGGTAACTCGTCCGACGTCCGTTCACATCGCGGTGGTTCAACAGCTGCTCAACTAGATAGCGCTGGTCACCGCGAGAGTCCTCTAATGGAGGTGGAGGAGGAGGGAAAACGCTCTTCAAACTATCGTGGGGATCCATGTGTTCCCGAGAGCTTCTTTGATCGCGTAACGCAAGGGTTACGCAACGATCTCGAACATGAGCGGGACAGGCGTCTCTAACTGGCGGACACTGTCTTGAAGCATCGAGCTGAGTTTGCCTTTACTCAGCTTGAGAACGAGAGAGCTTTGACATCTCTTCGTGACGAGCTAAGGGTAGCTCGTGGGATTGCTGATCGGTCTCGGGATGATATAAATGCTCTTCATACCCTTGTCGATATCCACCATCGGGAGCACAAGGCCCTCTGCGAGATGCTTGAGCGCAAGGGCGTTCTTCATCGGAAGAAGCAGCGTACTGATGGTACGGCTTAAGCCGACCAACGTAAAACGTGGGATGCGTTCGCATCTTACGTGGCAACTCGATCGTGTATGCATTGCCTAGGCGGTGCAATACACGAAATGGGCCGATGTACCTGGGTAGTAGTTTACTGCTACCCAAGTTAGTCACTACATGTTTTGGTAGATTAACCGTAGACAGTAGGACTAAGTCACCTTTATTAAATAAAAGAGTGTTTACCCTTCCATTCTTATCAGCGTTTTGCTTTTGCTTATCCACCGCTTCGGCGATGGAGTCTTGCACAAAACGGACTACCGTTTCACGAGCCAGTATGAACTCATCTGATGACTCGTTAGCTTCAGTGCGCTGTGAGTGCACTGCAGCAACATCAATCTTTTCTTCAGTGAGGGCTTCCGCACTCTCACTGGCATCATCTTCTTCAATATCGATGTTATCGATATCGGCATCAAACGCAATGACTTCTTCGTCAGAGCGTGATGAGCGTGAACCAAATCGGTTTTTGCTCGCGCGAGTCCCTCCCCCCCTTAAACCAGAGTTACACTCTAGTAAGGTGGGTACACGCGGATGGCGCAAGCCATTCACGTAAAACGGTGTATGTGTCGTGGACGCATGCACCGAGTAGTTAATGGCAAACTCTACCATTGGCAAAAACTCACTCCAACTCTTAAAGGAGTGTACGTATCCTCGAAGTATCTCTTCTAGGACACGATTGGCACGTTCCGTCTGACCATCTGACTCTGGATGATCAGATGTTGACATCTTCAAGCGCGTTCCGAGTGACTTGAACACGGAACGCCAGAAATCAGCAGTGAATCGTGGATCTCTGTCTGATACGAGTTCACGGGGCAACCCATGAAGTCGGAAGATGGTGTCGATAAAGACGCAAGCACAGCCACTTGCTGTGATTGACTCTGGTACAGCCACAAGGTGTACCATTTTGCTGAATCTGTCAACAAATACGAGAATACCCGTATTCCCGCGTGCGTCTTTGGGTAACCCGAAGACGAAATCCATTGAGATGGATTCCCAGCACTCAGCCGGAACCGGTAGAGGCTGTAAAGGTGCACGCAGTGAAGGACTTGACTTCACTCGTTGGCAGACTTCGCATGCGCGAACATACTTTCGCACAAACTGATACTGGAGGGGCCAGTAAAAGTCTCGACTCACCGTGAGATACGTTTTCTCCCGGCCACGATGTCCTCCTATAGGAGCATCGTGATACTCGAACATGATCCGCAAACGCAGATCAGTATCTTCTGGAATGACAACACGTGATGTGTCACCAGTAACGGCTGTGTAATACAGTAAACCGTTGCGAGTAGTGTATCGATCTGATGCAGATCGATACGCAGACGACAATCGTTTCAACGATTCTCGGGATGGTTGGGAGAGATGTGTCAACAACTTCACAGTCTCACCATCTTGGGCGTACGCCCGCCTCACATCATTATGTAACGTTGAAGATGGGACTGAGGACGTCATAACCACAATAGTGACTGTCTCACTGTTGGGTTTCACGACTGTTTCAAAGTCGGGACGACGTGAGAGTGCATCAGCGACGACATTAAGTCGTCCTGGTTTGTACTCGACCGTAAAGTTGTATTCTGCAAAGAATGACAACCACCGCGCCATTCGTTGTGAAAGGTGCGGGCTGTTCACTGCCGTGCGTAATGACGCATGGTCAGTGTAAACAATGAAGGGTCTATCTCCTAATAGATAGACTCTGAACTTCGCGAGTGCACACTTCATGGCAAGGAGTTCCTTGTCATGCACTGGATAGTTCCGCTCAGCTGGTTGCAGCTGACGCGACTGATAGCAGACGACGCGTTCAACGCCTTCAAGATCGTACTGCATTAATGCACAGCCGATTGCAAAATCGCTGGCATCACAGACCACATGAAATGTCCTGTCCTGATCGGCTATGGCTAGGACTGGGGATTGTATCAAGCTCTGCTTGATACCATCAAAGGAGCGCTGACATTCAGCGTTCCATAACCACCTCTCGTTCTTTTTCAACAAATGAGAGAGGTGCACAGTCATCTCGGCGTAATTGCGTGAATACTTATGCAAATACGCCGCTAG